CCCCTGTACACAGAAAACTTTGCGTAGGAATCAGCTTCTCGGTTTCAGCTGCAGAGTGCGGTGCCCACACATAGCGTACCTTGTAATTAGACATTAACAACTTCTCAGAGTGTAAACTGCAAATGAATAAGTATTTACTTCTTTACACAAAGAGCATGACGCGAAAACGTCTAGCAAAGAATGATCCGTCCGTCTTTCTACACCTCCCTTCGGCAATCAACAAATTTCGAAGAAATTATGTATCGTGGGTCGATTAGACGCTTTCAGATAATTTCTTATTTATTTTACGGCACTTTCTGTATTACGCTATGCATTGTCAAATGGTATAAATAATGAATGGGAAAGGATTTGTAAGGGGACGATTTCAGCCTTCTTACAATTGCCTGGAGGAATTGAAGAAAACCGAGATAAAATTATTAAGTGAAGCCTCTTTCCCTTCCAAGACTCGAACCTAACACCTCTCGAATATGTCTAGAGCTTTGCCGCAATACCATTCTCCTCAGTTCATTGCTAGAGATATGGGATAGCCCTGAGCAGGCAGCGCATTATCATAACCTCTAACCCGATACCTGACTGGTTACAGAAAGAGGAAATTTGAGTACAGCTCTGACCTCAGGAGCAGAGACCTGGACTTGAAACTGTTAGGATGTGTAATGTGAGGGTATTCACCTCCATTCTGCTATATGCCTTCTTGGTGTGTTGCTTGAACCTAGGGATACAAGTCATTTCTACCGTTTGGAGAACGCAAAATGAGATAAAATTGTCCATTTGCTTAAATTGAACGTTCTTTATGAAAACTATCCCGGAGAGAACCATGTCCCGCGGTTCTTAACCTCGGCACTTATGGAAGACGCCCTAGCAGCTTAACCCCCGTGATATTAGTAAAAAGTACCCGTTATAAAAAGATCCCGCATAGTCCATATAGCGACTGGTTACTGGCTGGAATGCCGGGGTTCCATTCCCTGCAGAAGCAAGATTTTACTATACTCCACAGTGTCCAGACCGGCTTTGGGACCCACTCAGCCTCCTATCCAATGAGTACCTGGGGCTCTTTCTCCGAGGATAAAGTGGCAGAGGCGTGTAACTGACCACTCGCCTCCATATAGTGCCTAGGTAAAAAACTCTGGAGCTATACATCCACTCCCTCATACGCCTTCATGACGTAGTCTTTAACTAGCTAAGCATAGGAACAGCTTAATTTTTTTATATGGTGACTAGAGCTGTTCGATTTTTTGAACGCCTTTCGAAGTACAATTCTCCCAATTTCGAACAGTGGCTGAGGATATGAATACTATAGGTCACAGTGTACTGTGTTACACTTACGCGTAGAGGGAAACTGTACACTTCTGAGGGCTATGTTCACGTTGCCTGTTTTCTTCTGTAAGAACGTATTCAGTAACCACAAAAAGGTTTATGTAACAATGCGATATGCCTATACCAAATATCACTGTGCCCAAACTCACATAACCATTTAACAATTCCGAAAGCAGCACACCACTAAACCAACCAGAACATATTTTATTTTGTGGTTATAGCAAGATAAATCCAAAAATAGAATTATAACTCAATAATTGTTTATTTTGTTCACCGCGGAATGTGGCAGCAAGTTCAGTCGATTGTGCTTTGCGCAGTCAGTACTTTAATAGGCCTAATGTTGCACAACAAACTTTGCGTGACAGAAGAGCAACCGTTACTTCAGAATGACTAATGAGGTAAGTACCGGGAGCTTAGATTATATTCGTTGTTTTTCTAGTTTACATTTTAATGGGTTGAAAATAAATTGTTGTTCTTGCGCTTCAAATATTTCATGAGCTTGTAACATTAACAGAAATTAACTCATATACATGACAATCATGTTCACTGTTCCTTTCTGTATAGTTTGATTAAAGAGTTTAATCACGTTTAGAATATCTAAAATTACATAACAGTCCGAAACTCGAAAAGTATAGGAAAAAAGAGGTAAAACTATCCCAGTAAGAGGCAGTGGAGGCCCATAGGTTTGTGAGATGTCGAGGCTCCCACATTTTCTCTAGGCAATCAGCTCTCAAAGATGGCGGTAAGGTTGTGAACCTTACGCGCCGACCGCCCTTTACCCCCAGGAAGATTTCTGGTACTCATTTCTGTTTGAGGTTAAGTCGACCCCAGGGTCCATATTGCGGCTGGAAGGGTTAGGTCAATTGAAAAATCCAGTGAACTCATCGGGAATGAACCTGCAATTTTCCGACTTGTAGCGTAGTGCCTCAACCAACTACGCTACCGCGTGCCCCCGAAATTCGAAAGGTATCAGGAATTAATCTGGGTATTTATTAAACTCGGGTAATGCTTACTGACATTTCCTTCAGAATCTTTTGTTCTTCGTATGCTGAAAAATAATGTAAATATTAAAATAATTAAAAATGTAATTTTTACTTGTAGTTTTGTATGAGTATGAAACTTGGTCTTTGATATTAAGAGAAGGTCACATACTGTTAGTGTTGGTTTTGCGCAACCCCTGTCGTTGCTAGGTAACAACTTGGTAAAAACGTTTCCGCGGCAACGAAAAATTGCTGAAAGCGTCGTTTTATATACAATCCGTGTCGTATGGAAGGAATGTAAGCGGTTAATTCTTCCCACAACTTCTTGTTTTAAATTTTCTAGCTACATTGTCATCTTAATGTCTCAACATTTCTAAAAATTCACAATTTTCCACAGCCAAATTTTGTCCGTTATATCAGGGACCGTTATAACTTGAGTTTACTGTACAATGAATCGTTACGAAGCAGTGTTGTGCACCCGGTAGCGAAATCTGTTGAAATAAGTTAGTACACTCCCGGTAGTGAAGTAACTCAATTGTAATGCATAGTGTTTGTGCAGTAGGCAGACTTCTGGCTGTAATTCGCAAAGCACCCGGTCACGCGATAATGCAATAGCGAACCAGAGGGTTTCTGGTGTCAAGTGCGGAAAATACAATGGCCATGAAAACAGAAAGAAAAAAATATCAAAGAGGGTGAAAATATAAAGAAAATCTTATTATAAAAACCGCGTCAAACGTAAAAGACGGACTGCGAAGTGAAACAGTGGCAGAAATGAAAGGCGGACAAACGATCTCTCTGACAACCAAAGAATGAAGGTGTATGCAGGACAAGTGACAGTTAATTTTTGAGTCTAGTGGAAAGATAAAAAGTTATCACGCGACCCTCGAACGTGAGAAACAGAACTTGTTAAAATTTAATCACATTTCACTGAAGAAAGAATCACTCTATCATAAAAATCGATTTTGAAAAAAGTTATTTTGTAAAAAAATGAACCCTCAAAAAGTGGATATCTTGTCATCGTGACATGCCTGTCTAGATTAATGTCCTTTGGTATGTGACGCCATATTGTTTTATAGATAGGTATAAAATAGAGGGTAAAATATATAGAAAGCACATTCTTCTGAAATGTTGATATACGTCTACAAGCCCACACGGTGCTACATCTCAGAAGGCAATATTCTAATATCTTGATCACTTTTATTACTGGATTGTAAGATTTTATGTGCGTTTGATGTCATAAGTATCAATATTTCGAAAGATATTTTTGCCTCCATCATCAAGGTAAGAGATGAAGATAGCACGTTTCTGTGAAACGCTGTTACTTCTCTAGCGACACGGGGTCATATCAGGAAAATGCTAATCCGATATTGCGACGTTTCAGAGTCAAGATTTTTCTGGGATATAATGCCGTGTAGTTTGTAGATAGTTTCGGGCGTTTCGGAGGAATCTGTTGCTTCATTCTTGGGGATAGAAGATTGAGGTAGCAGGTTCCTTGAGAACGTTAGCGACTACCTACGAAACTACAAGGCGTCACATTCCAGAATATAGTAAATTTAAATGATAAATAATTTTCCTGGGGAGTAAAGTGCGGCCGGCGCGTAAGACTGACAACCTTGCCGCCATTTTTGAGCCGATTTTTTAGATAATGTGGGAACCTCAACGTCTCACAACCCTATGGGACTCCATGGTCTGTTACAGGATAGCTTTACTTTACTTTAATCTTTTAGATTAGAACTTTCTGGTATGTGAGGCGTTGTGGCCTTGTGGAGATTATTTCTAGTCTGCTGTTTGTTTTGGTACTTATCTATCAAATTATACGTTGTCATATCCCAGAAGACAGTAATGTTTGTACACCTCCACTTCTCCATACGTCTGGAGAGCACAGTGCACAGAGACCCAACAAGTTATTCCAGAGGCAAAGGTTTTATACTCATGTTTACGCGGTGTTCGTTTTCAACCTCGACTGGGTCTCCAGCTATTCCCATTGAGATTTATGGTGGTTTTCTTCAGTCCCTACAAGAAAACATAGGAATATTATCTCAATTATGCCAAACGCTTTCCAATTCGACATTTATGTCATCCAAGCACTCGACACTACGTACTCTAGAACACTGCATTTAATCTGGCTATTTAAGGAATCTGGGTAGCTCAGTCGGTATAGCGACGGGCTACGGGCTGGAGGACTGGGGTTCGATTCCTTGTAAGAACAGAAGATTTTTCTGTACTCCACGGAGTCCAGACTGGCTCTGGTGCCCATACAGCCGCCTATGCAATGAGCACGGGGTTAAAGTGGCCGAAGCGTGATGCTGACCATTCACCTCCATATTGTGCCAAGGAGAAGAATGGTAGAACTAAACCTCCTCTCCCGCATGTATCTTCATACCTTAGTGCTCAATGAAGCACAGGAAATTTACCTTTCGCTTTTTATTTAAGGAAACTGTCGATGATATGGTGATTGATGAAGCTGTGGATGTTGCTGGAATGAGAATTTGTAGGGGAAACCGAAATACTTTGAAATTACCCGACCTAATGCCACTACAAATCCCACATGTCGTTACCTGGGATCGAACCCGGGCCGCTGTGGTGGGATTATGAATTCTGATTGAAAGCTTAATAAAATAAGTTGAAAGAAGCCAAAAGGTAACAGCTTTACACTTACCTTTTGCTTCTGAAGTGACATGATATCTTAACCATGGTTTGTTGCAGGACCAGCATTTTGGGGCCTTATCAACCCAGAATGGAGCCTCTGCAACAAGGGCAGGAGACAATCTCCTGTCAATCTGGAGCCCAACAAGCTGCTGTTCGACCCCAACCTCAGGCAGTTGCATATAGACAAACACAGGGTGAGTGTTTCACAGTTACGTGACATCTCCAGTTCCACAGCATGTTAACTCTGAAATACAGTTCAGTTGATGTTTCGGTTCAATATTCTACCTCCATCATCAGGGTAAAGTAATGAAACAGGTTCATCCGAAACGTTGACCCTACAGCGTGAATTATTTTATTCATTGGTTTGTTTGTAGTTTATTTAACGAATCTGTCAGTAAACCTGCTTATATAATGTATCGTCGGATATTTGGATGGTAAAAATGTAAAAGGTAAATTTGTCCCTTTGCTTAACTAATTAAGCACTACACTATGAAGGCGTGTGAGAGAGTGTGTATAGATCCACATTTTCTTGGTCTCTGCACTAGTTGGATTTGAGTGGTCAGCTTCACGCCCCGGCCGCTTTACCCCCGGGGAAAGACCACTCACCCCGGTACCCATTGGATAGGAGGTTTGGTGGGTCTGGACGACTTGACCCTACAGGGACTCGAACTCCGACCTCTTGGTCACCCAACCTGTAACCAGTCGCTATACTGACTACGCTATCCCTACTCACGGTTGTTAGGATAGTAGTGCATATTAACTGGGGTGGGTGTGAAAGGAAATAATAGGAAGTCTAATTGAACGTATTAGTAGAAGGTATGCAGCCTTTTCTTTTGGTAATTGATCAAATCAAGGAGGATGAGATGGGCAGCGAATGTAGCAGGCATTGGGAAAAGGGGGAATACATATAGGATTTTGGTGCGGAAACAAATGAAAAAGAAGAAAAAGCTGAGATATAAAGAATAATAATAAAATAAATTTTATGGATATAGGATAGGATTATATAGATTGGATTGATCTGGCTCAAGATAGGGGCCAGTGTAGGACTTTTGTAAACACGGTAATGAACCTTCGGGTTCTATAAAATATTGGAAATTCTTGAGTAACTGCGATATCGGAGGCTTCTTAAGAAGGGCTCAGCTCCATGGATTTTTTGTTGCTAGTGGGGTTGGACTAAGTCCCTTGTACTGCGGCCACTTCTGGCCTATTGTACCAGCCCCAGATGATAGGTGAGGGTGAATGTGGAGTAATTTCTGGAATGAAGATTGGCAGGGGAAACCGAAGTACTCGGAGAAAACCTGCCACAGCGCCACTTTGTCCACCACAAATCCCACTTGACCACACCCGGGATCGAACCAGGGCCGCCGCGGTGGGAAACCAGCGACTATGGTGCGGCTCTAACTCCATGGATTTATTTATGTACTTCCTTTGATTTACGACGATGAGCGAAATAAGTTGGAAATGCTTTAAATTAAATATGGTAGGAATATTTGGATCGGTTTGGTTAAAATGACTGAAGCATCAAGATATTTCATTTTATAACTAACCGATTCGATCACGACCAGCGGGTAACACTTATATTTTAAAGCAGAGAACGTCGAATTGTTAAAAACCTTATCGAAGTTTAAGCAAAGAAATTTAATATTTCCCCATCTCTAGCCACGGTTCCTACAGGTAACCTTCCCCTGATCCACGCTTATATATTGTAGCACTTGAGGGGAACTTTCAGGTCACGAATTCTCTCAATATGTACGCTATAAACTTGAAAAATTCTGGAGAAGGAAAATTGATAAAATTACCAGTGCTGCTATCTGGCAATAACTTCTTTAGGTACAGATCGATATTGCAGTATCAATTGTAGCAATAGTAACCCTCACGGCCGTTCATTTCTGCTACCCCAACCTATATTCGTAACTAATACCAATTCTGATGTTTATTAAACATACGAAAGGACAAAAGAAATTTAGAAATTCCTTACGATGGTATATTTATACAACAATTGGCTTTCTAGAAGTTACCCATTTTCCTGTTTCTGTTAAAAATAAGGTTTGGGGGACTGGACTCTTCTTCCATCCTCAGGTAGAAAGCCTACGCAGTTGTGCCAAATCGATAGAACTGGTCTCTATTTGTGGACGATGGATAATGTCCAACAGATAAATAATTCTACTTTTGTATGAAAAGGGTAAAGCTACCCCTGTAACGAGCAGTGGGGGCCCATAGGGTTGTGATACACCGAGCCTCCCACAATTTGTAGACAATCGGCTCACAAATGGCAGTGGGGTAATCAGGCTTACACGCCGGCCGCCTTTTACCATTATGGAGATTCCTGGTATTAATTTATGGTAGAAGCTCAGTCAACCCAGGGGAAATATTGCGCCTGGAATGATTAGGTCAATTGAAAAATTGTACTTTTGTACTCATATATTTTTTTCTAATGTTACTGTGCCAATACACTCTGTTTAAAATTCACAATTTGTCTATTTCTTTGTGAGGTTTGAGTTTTCCAAGCTCCAAAGAATTCATTTTGTAGACTTCTGGATTATGATATCTTGTAGTCTGGTAGATGATTTTAAATTTTTTTCGGAGAAAAATTCTACCTCCATCTTCAGATTAAAAACTTATTATGTTGTTTGTTGTTGATGCAGGTTAGCGGTAGTATCAGCAACACAGGGCACAGTGTCATGTTCACTGTGGACAACTCCACAAGACATCACATCAACGTCACTGGTGGTCCATTGTCCTACAAGTACCAGTTCCAGGAAATACATGTCCACTATGGGCAGAATGACGACTGGGGTTCAGAGCACAGCATCAACGGTTACGCCTTCCCCGCCGAGGTATATGCAAAAAGAAATACATTTACAGTGTTTCTCAAGTGTTTCCGCGTATACTGTGGCATGAAAATAATTGGCTCTGGAATATATTGCGCCTCTGAATATATTTCTCTTTCGAATATATTACATTCCGTGTTTATATTTTCTACTCGAATATGCTACGCACATGAATTCAGAGGTCTCCCGGAATATACGAGTATGTACTTCTTCCCCTAAATAAAGTTCAGCAGGAGAGATTATTATTATGTATATTATTATTATTATTATTATTAGAGGCGGTGGGTTTCCCCATGCACTTAGACCAGTTATTGGTCCATTGTGCGTCCCCCTTTAATTTCTACTGTCGCCATACCCTACCGGTTCTGGTGCGTGCTATGAGCCCTGTTCAGCCAACGATGTCGGCCATCGGTAACTGATACTTCCCCCATCTACTAGATGCATTGGAAACTACTTGGGCGGGAAATTGTTGCCTAATTTTGCTCAGAGGTCTCCTAGAGACATTTACATGCCGTAAATCTACGACACGGGACCCACGTCTTTAAAGTCCCTCCCGGAGGACTTGTTTCTTGAATTTTTCCGCCCTTAAAAGTTCCACGACCTCCGCCGTGTTTGAACCCGCATACCTTGACTACGGAGGCCACTTCAGCAGGACAGAAAGAAGCACTACTGTTAGTCTGTTTTAGGAGTATATTGAATTAGACAGGAAAACATGTAGAAAGACAAGACCCATAATTTTACAGTAAGACTGCATTTTGCTGTAGACTGGATACGAATGTGGACCGTTATCATAAAGAGAACTGTCGTTTCGAAATGACCAACCTGGGAGAGTATTCCCTGGCGAGCGATAGTCTGCCGGCACTTCCGATACGTTGTATTGTGTCCCATACAAAGTTTCCTCAAGTTTTAATTGGAATTGCATTGAAGTTTCGAAAGCGAGAATTGCTACTTGTTACCAGTGTTTTCTGGATTTATATGTGGATAGAGGGGAGTCACCCTTTTGCCCCAAGCACTATAATAACTGTAACGGACCTTTAGAAGTGCCCGGGCAGAGTCAGTCTGGGCCCAATGGACTCTCCAGATATGCAACGATGTTTCAAAGTATTGAGACTTCTAGAAAATAAAATTACTCTAATGGGAACAGCAGAAAATAGAATTGAAATCAAGGGGAATTATTTCGTTCGTATATTCATCAAATACCTTATTTTCTTCTTTCCTTTATCCAGTTAGTACCTTTATCTCTTCCCCTCCTTTCTCCATTTAAAGCATTGAATTAAGTTGCAGCTATATCCTTCATATGGCACTGTTTCAGAAGTGCATCTGCTATATTTCTAAAGGAGTGAATAGGACTAGACACACACATAATAGAACTACAAAATAATAGACATAAACCGTCTGTTGTTATATGTATGACCCTTGTTTTACGCGGTACATACGTGTATGCATACTGGCAAACAAATTTTGTGTACGTGCAAACATTTCAAGGGTCGCATATCTGCCTGTGAATTATTTATTTCGTCATTAAGGGTGAAAACAAACTTGTTCTTGGAGAAGGAGCGCATTGTACGTGTATGTATATTTATAAACAGCAAGATGGTAATGAAATTATGGAGTTCCGGGTTACCATAGCAACTAATTGTCTAGGAGACGTTGCCTGAATGTAAGTTTTATAACAGATCACTAACGAATGATAACATCTTTCGTTTCGGGGTATCGTGTCTATTTTGTGATCATTGATCATATTTAATAGTAGACATATAAAATGTAGTTAGTAATTATGATAAAATGTGACTTCCTTTAGGAATATTTGGAAGGATTACAGTGGCCGACTGACCGTCAGTCGTAATATAATTTTGACTGAGTGGTTAGTATCCACGCCTGTCACGCGAGAGACCGGGTTTCGATTCCGCGCTGGAGAGAATTTTGCCCCGTGTTAAGGCGGGGTCGAATACCTGCACCGTAGCCCTGCCAGTCGTAGGAGGCGACGAAAAGGAAAGTCTTGAATCTGAGACAGTAAAATATGGTCGTGAGTCTCACGGACTGGGACCCGAAAAGGACTGCGCTGGTGAGGGACAACAGCAGTTGTAAACGACAGACCCGTCCTCTCGTCAGAGAGAGCGCCCCACATCAACAAACACGCAACTGGCTCAACGTAATAAAAATCTGATCCCAAGCTCCAGATGGGTGCTTTATTCCAAGACAGACTGGCCGACTGACCGTCAGTCGTAACATAAGACTAAGGCACAGCTCAGGACTCAGTTGAAAATCGGTATGTGGAGATAAGACTAGGAGGTTGGTGTGTAATGGCCGCCAACCCGGTAGTTAGTCACTTGAGGCACTAAGAATATTTTAAGGGAGTCTATGACGAAAATATTTAGCGCAGAATCTGGAGAATCTCAGCTGTTAAAATCCGTTACCAGGAAACGTCTAGTGTCGACAAAGAAGACTTTTATGTGTGCTGTAGTTACAGAGATATTAGAGCGTGTAATTCCGTGAGACTGTTATAGTTGCTGCTAGTTACGACCTGTATGCGGTCAATAAATCCAATTACCGATCCAAAACCAGTTGAGAGTCACTCATTCACGTGATTCACATTTTCGGTTGCTGATGATTTTATTCATCTGTTCTCTAGTGTGTGTGCATGTGGAGGGTGTAGGGGGTGGGGAGTTTGAGGGGATGTTGCTATGTAACCATCCCGATAAATACGTGTGTTTAAGCAAAGTGACTATAAAGTATTTGAGGTTCTCACAGCAGTGATTATGTAGCGTTATATAACGCCGTGTAGTCCTTTGAAAGTCAACTGACGTTTCAGAAGAACATATCGCTTCCATCTTCAGGGTGAAAGAATAAGTCAAGCAAGAAACCAGCGTAGAAAGCAGAGATTTGTTTTCCGCCTGTTTTCATGCTTGTTTCTTGTTCGACTTATTCCCCGTCCCTGAAGATGGAGAGTACCTATTTCTCCGAAGCGTCGATTAACTTTCAGTGGGATTTATGGCGTTATATCCGAGAAGGTAGAACTCTCTAACGTGATTATTATGTTTTGTATGAAGTACATTGCATGTATAAGTACACCATTGTTCCCTACTCATGTGTCACGCCTCCATGAGGCGTGTGATAGACGTGATAAGGCATAATCACATTCTCAGTCATATTTATCGGTCGGTCGAGTAAATTGCTGCAGGTCCTCGCCAACACAGTCAATTTTGATTTCGGGCCCCGTCGGAAACAATGACCATGTTTGTATTTCCAAAAAGTTTATGTATTTTGAAATGGGGCCTCCTCTTCGAGAGGAGGGGTCTGGCTACTACTGGTCACTGCCCCTCTACTGGGGGTGACTGGAGCCGTCACCATTAACTGACCCCAATATTCTTGCCCCGCGCTTCACAAAATAGACGTCATCTTTGTAGCTGGAAGAGATCTGAGAATCTTGAAAACAACAGCGAAAATTTTTTTCTTCCTTTAATGTGTGAAATTTAGATGTAATTTCTAATGACCTTTAATATGAATACATGTCTCCTGGTGTCTGACGTCATGTAGTACAGTAAACATTTTCCGAAGTTTCGGAGGAGCTTCTTCAGGTTAGAGGAATAGGTTAAGAGGTCACAGTCCTCCATTTCCCTACACCCACACCAATTGTTCCACACTGTATTTATTTTTCTGTGCTGAAGATAGAAACAGTAGGTTCCTCCGAAAATTCAGTAGCTATCCATTAGGATACATGACGTCATATCTCAGAAGACAGAAACTTAAGGTCGCGTGAAACTTGCAAAATATGTATTAAGATTTGTTGGCTTATCCAGCAGGACTCAGTTCCGTGGAGTGAGTTACATAATTATAGTAAGATTCAACAAGGATAGCTCAGTCGGTATAACGACTAGACCACAGGCTGCACAACGTAGGAATCGAGATTCGATTCCCTGCAGGGTCATGGGATACTTATATTCTCCATTTCATCCATACCGGTTCAGTGTCCTCACCCATCCTTCTGCCCAATGAGTGCCAGGATCTGTTTCTCCAGGGGTAAAGCAGTAGGATCATGAAACAGATCATTTTCCTCAGTCTAGTGCTGAGGTCAAAGTGGAGTTTTACCTCTTCTCCCCTACACGCGTTCATGGCTTAATTCTTAATTAACTGGGCACGAGGACAGCTTATTATTATTATTATTATTATTATTATTATTATTATTATGGCTTTAGAGTCCTTTGTTAGGCTTTAGCTGCTTTTCCCAGTTTCTTAGTTCTATGCTCAGTCAGTAGGACTCCTTGGACGGTGATCAGACCGTCGCAAACACAGACATCCATGCCTTGAGTAGTATTCGAACCCACGATCCAAGTGTTCGAGCGGGGGCGAACTCGGTTCATGCCTCAGACCGCACGGTCCTTGGGATCGGCTAGTAAATGCATAACAGATACAATGACGTCATTAACTCACTGCACACAGATAGAACACATCCTTGATCTCCTGTGTGAAATTACAAGTGAATTTAGCATCTCGAATAATCAGCCGTTCTGAAAATAGAGCTTAACCCAAAACCATAAAGAGGGTTAAAAGAAAAAAAAAATTGGGGGGAGAAGTTCTTTTTCTTCTGGCCACTACTTACACAGGCTGTTGCTTTCCTCCACCCCTTTAACAACCCCTCCCCATTACTAAAGATTTTAGTCATCTTTCTCCTTAAAGTACTACACTTGAGATATTCTTGGTCTGCTTTCCGGAAGTTGGTTCCATTCAGCTTCTCGCGGTTTCCGCTTTCACCGTCTTTTCTTCCACCCTTCCCCCCCCCCTCCGCTCCACCCTCTACACTCCAACTTGAGTTTGTTCCGAAACTCAGTCTTGTACTTCAAACGACAATCCTAACCTATACAGAGAGTTTTCTACGGTTATTTCTTATTGAAAAGATTTCTGCCTTCTTAAATTGAAGGGGAAAAAAAGATGGATGGGTTGAGGAAGGAAAGAAAGGAACAAGTCGAAGCCGATATACTTAACACTGTTCAGCAGAAAAGGACAGA